GATTATAGCCCATGTATTTTTCTTACTGTCAAATGCGAACACTCAAATTCCTGTCAGTCTGATTAGGAGAGCGCAGGCCATCCACATCAACAGGTCTGCTGTGGGGTCATCGTCCATACAGTTCTGAATCACAGACTGGCACAGTGACTGGCTCGTAATCATGGTTCTTGAGCCAAGAAAACAGGTGCTCTTGTGGCTTTAGAAAATACGTCAGGGTCTAAGTTAGTGTGGACAGCAGTCATGCGCCGTGTGAAGGCCGATGATGCACTTTAAGACATCAAGTGACCTGGTGCTGCGTGGAGCAAATTCACTGCCCTCAGGCAAACTGTGAGCATCTTGATCAAGATGAGCATCTTAATCAACTCACAGCTGTCCAGACAAGAGACACCAGATACATTTGGAGTGTCCTACACTGACACTGACACTGACACAGGCTGTAGGAACAAAACCTCTTGTCTTCAACAGAGAATAAACCTGTTACAAGTCTTCAGCATCCTCAAAGACACTGACAAAGTTAACCCAGCGGCTGACATCCATCTCTGGGGAGGGCCTTGCTTTGACTAACACACTTTGCTTTTTTCATGTCTCCAGCGCTTAACAAAGGCAGTGCACAGCCAGGCCTTGATGTCAGTCCGGCTCTCGATCACACAGAAATAATATTTTTCCACCCATTTAGAGCTGTGAGAAATATTGATACATATTGTGGCTAAAGTTTCTTAGCAGCAGTAAGGGCAGGCTGGTGCAATGGTTAATCCACATGTTTCATGAGCTCCTTAATTTGCATGCCTGTTTTAATACTTTTACTTCATAATCCCTAAACAGCTGCAGCTAACGCTTTGTAAAAATAATTTCTCTTGTTCGTGTTGACAAACTCCAATAAGCACAGACAGGTGATATTGCAGGTGAAGTTCGAGTGTGGATGTGGAGCGGTGTCCAGTGTCTTGAGGTGTCTTGAGGCTGATGGAGAGAAAGGGCTGCCCATGTTCAGAGCTGCCCAGTCAGAGTGTGAGTGCTGCTCCTTCATGTGGGGGTCTTCATGCACTGGGGACCCTGCAGTAGCTGCAGGCAGCCTGGCCCCAGAGCTCCCCAGCGCACTGCCCATGACTGGTGTCTCTCAGAGGGGGTGAGAGACAGAGCTGCCCCCCAGACAGTGATACAGAAAGCACAGGGTGGACAGGGGCAAAACTGGAATCACTCCTGTCAGCTGGGGCACACAGATCTTCCACAGATCTTTAAAAGACCCGACCGAGGCTCCTGTTGTTGATGTGATATCAATGTATCACAGGAAATAGCAACACCCAGGAATGAAGAGTGTTGCACATTGTTTACGGAGTGATTGTAACCCCGAGGCTGTGGGGCAAGAGAGGGGTGACCCAGCATGAGGGGGGATGCAGAAAGACGAATGCGGAGGAGAGAAGGGGCAGTGATGCAGTATTCATGGTATAAATTGAGGAAATGATGTTGGGAATAATTATTAAAATAATGAATTGCGACAGCTTAGGCCACCATGGCTGCTGTTACCCCTACCAAACTTTCATTCAGTACCGGGGGAATAAAGGGGCAAATTTCGGGAGGTCGGACTGCACAAGATCTGAGTGGAATTTAGCGAGGGCGCTGGGATTCGCATTCCCCTAATGTTGCACACTGTGGTATGGGATGTTTAATGACAGACCAAGGAGTCACGGTGACTGTGTCCTTGGTGTCCATACTGGGGCCTTGGTTTAGGAACGATACGTCTCTCAGCCTTCAATCTTCATGTCATCTCTTCCAAGCAGACGTAAAGGAATAACTCAGACTTACAGTAATTTTCTAAAGTTTTGCCCGATGCCTTATTCATTTTATCATGATGTGGGAAAATAATAGTCTGCATCTGCAAAACAAAAACATGTTAGCGTCTCAAAGACTATAGAATAATTTTCTTTTGTTAATAGTTATGTTTTTTAAAAATATTATTTTAATAGTGCAGCAGAGCTGAGCTGCAGAAAGTTAACTTTGTAAATGTGTCTAATTAAGAGCTCCAAACAGGACCAAGCAGCGTGTGGAGGAACAGGAACTTCATCGTTTACCTGCCATTATCCATGAGCTTTCTCCCACACACAGCGAGTCGTCCTCCACGGCTACTGGAGCCTTAATACGACGAGTGCTTCAGAGAGCAGATCCATTAAGTGATACAGTATGTTAATACAGTCTAACACCCTTACACAAGCAGGGCGGATAAAATCAACTGCATCTAGCTTTAACCAAGACGTCTGCTTAAACAGAAACGGCCTCCAGGACCAGGTCAAGTAAAAAAAAAATCTTTGGTTGTCTTTTGCACAAATAAAATGAACACGGCACAATTAAACACATTTATTTTTTCATCTTTTGTCCATTTAACGTTATCTGGAGCAATATTAGTAATTAACATTTTTTCTTCCAATTTAATATTCACTTAAGATTTAATATTCCCTACAAACTCTTGTGGCATGAATCACCCTCCAGCCATTACGAGTGTGTGGGAACGTGCTCTGTTAAAGCCTCACGGCACTCATCCCTCAGGTGACGAATACTCGGGACAAGACCTGCTCTTATTACCTTTATTTTGCTGCGAGAACTGTTTTCCATTGAATCACACAACCTGTCAGTTATTGTCGTGCCTCAGCAGAGGTGTCATTCATCTGGTACACTTGAAATATCTCCTGGTTCAGCTGAAATGTTTCACACAAAAACAGGAGAGGTTTTAGAGAAAAAAGTCCTTCAAATTGTCAAGCCCGATTAGTTGTAAAAAAAACTGTTTAGTGACATCTAGCTTAATACAGTACCATATTGCAGTTGGTGGTTCATCCGCTCTTTGATGCTGAAACTAGGGCTAGGAGATTAGTCTATATGATCCATACCGCACTCTGCAGGATGACCTCGGGTCCGAGTGGCTGTTTGTGTTGCCTTATTTTATGTAAAAACATCTTCTGCAACACAGCCCTGGAAAAATCACCATCGTGCTCATTCTAAATTTTAGTACAGAATATTGCTACAGTGTGTTTGGTACTGTATAGCACCTTAATTGTGTCTTTGCCAGAAACCTAACAAAGCACATGGCATGGCCTGCATTCTGGGGCAATAGTAAATTCTGACACTCTATGGTATCTTTTTCATTAGTCTTCTGTCATCATCTTTTTTTTGTGATGCTTGATGGGAATCTGGTGTGGAATAGTGAGTAATGGGCAGGAGTCTGTCAATGGCTCCTAGTCAATGCATGTGAACAACTTTCCCTCTCTTGGCAGCTGCTTAGGAAACTTGCCTACTTAGTAGACAGGATCTACGTATTGCTATCTATTGCTATGTATATTTGCTTATTGTATTTGAATTCAGAAGGTAGCTTAGTCCTTCCATGTCTATAACATTCTACCCATTTATTCTTATAAGACCATTTTTATTTTCATTTTTTGCCTCATACTTGTCAGACTGTATTTGTGTCCACTGCTAGTTAAACCTCCTGGCCCACCTATTTGCCCAGTTTGATTTCCTTTCTGAACAGAAAATCCCTCTTAAGACCAGGCAGAGCAGATTTTCATCAGAGGGCCTCTGTCCCAGAATATAGTGACACACAGAATGGTAATGAGAGGGGCAGCGTGTGGCCCACAGCACACTGTCTCCTGCAGCACGTATATTTTATTCATCGCATGTCTGCGCAGCACATTTCACACTATTTCATCACATTCCATTTCACCTGATTCAGCTTTTCGGGGATCGTGTCTTCCGACATGGCAACCGGCCACATTGTTTCAGAGGTCAGCGCTGTCTGGGCACGTGGGTCCTTCTGATCTGCCGGGTTTCACTGCGGAGTCCAGAAAAGCATACAGCATATCCCCCAGACACTCGGTGCTGTATTATCATATCAGCTCAGACTGGATAACATTATTTCCAGTGGATTTATTAAGCCACATTGATGCATTGAATAGTCTATTCAGCATGCATGTATGTGTGTAGATGCTGCATATAAAGTATTTGTGTAAGTTGTTTTTGGTTGCCTTCCCTGTTTATTTTAACTCTAGCAGTTGCAGATGCTGATATGTACAATATGTTTCTTGTTTCTGCTGATTTATTTATGCTCAAACATCATTTCTTTATTTGAGGTTCAGCACTGGGATACCATACAGTATATACTGTATGCTGTTGTTTTGTGATGCATTACATATTTATGTTGCTGTAAATGCACTGTGTTTCTCTGACATATCCTGCCTTCTCTTGGGTGGAGTGTGTCAGGATGCTAAGCAGGACTTAGAAGAAGCCTGCTGGGATGGTTCTGTTCCCATGATAGTAACACCTGGCACAATCAGAGTCTTGCCATGCAGGAGAGTGACTTGCAAAAACAGTAACTTGTAATAGTAGCACATGCTTCGCGCTACTGTGTATAATCTCACAACAATCAGCTGTTTCAGGAAATACTCCTTTTACAGTAGGTTTAATTTCATAAAACATCTCAAGCCAAGCCAAAAACATGATGTGGCTAATAAATAATAATAATAAAAGTTTGCATTTAAATAGTGCATAATTTAACCCCACCTGGGCGACACACAGCAGCCATTCTGCACCAGCTGTCCCACTGCACTGCAGTTCAGTATGGCAAGCCAAATGTTCAGATATTTCTAAATCTACATTTTGAAGATTCCTTTCAATATCTGAAAATATCTTTAAATGCATTTAGAGATATATTTAAATGATAATGTGACAAGCCCTATATCCATAACTCTTTTGTCAATGTCTTTAATGAATTAAGTGACACCTCTAAATCATTTAAGGATATCATTACATATTTAAAGATATCTACAAATAATTACAGATTCTTATTATCTTGTCAATCGGGTTGTTAATACCAAATGTTACATGATTTAGAGATACTGTATCCTTGCCATAGATCAGCTGGGGGGAGAGAGGTTGCTTCAGTGGTTGAGTGAAGGGGGGCTTTTTCTGGATCAGTGTTCACGTGCTCCTGCAGACGGTCCTCTCTGTTTCCTCCCCAGAGCCTGGTGAGGTCCTTCCACAACCTGAGGGACGTGGGGATTGTCCAGGTGAAGGTCATCCGGGCAGAGGGGCTGATGGCAGCTGACGTCACAGGTAAACCCGCTGGACTCGGGAGGGGCTGGGCGTGTGAATTTAGGGCTCACAGGTAAACCCGCTGGGCTCGGGAGGGGCTGGGCGTGTGAATTTAGGGCTCACAGGTAAACCCGCTGGGCTCTGGAGGGGCTGGGAGTGTGAATTTAGGGCTCACAGGTAAACCCGCTGGGCTCTGGAGGGGCTGGGAGTGTGAATTTAGGGGTCACAGGTAAACCCGCTGGGCTCGGGAGGGGCTGGGCATGTGAATTTAGGGGTCACAGGTAAGCAATTTAGCCTCTGGCTTTCTTACCTGATATCTCTGCTGGTGCTGTATGTACCAAAGGGCAGGAACTCACAAAGACACGGTAGCAGTTCTCTGCCCTGTCTGCGTGAATGGATTACAGTGCCAGTCCGTATTTTTCTGAACTCTGGAATCGCTGAGTTCATAATGTTTGTCTTGTCAGAATCACTTGAAAGAGTGTTAAACTTTTCTTTGCATTGCTTTTTTAAAGATTTTTCAATGGTATTTATTGCTTACGCGCAGGTCACATCAAAAAGTGTTTTCGAAGAGTAGTTAAAAATGGCATTTACTGAATGTGTGTACAGTAGCTCATCTGGAGCTCTCCACAGCCAATGAGACCACAGAAAAGTCACGATTATGTGCCTGGCTCTGCTCTAGACATCACAGCAGAGTGTATGTGAGGCCAAACTGAAACACCAGATGACAGCAGAAGGAATGCAAATGATGCCATACGTGAAATGGGAATGAGAATCCCAATTTAGACACATGTTGTGCTTCACAATATCAGGATAGTGGCTAAAACAGGTCTTGAGTAAGAACTACTGCGCCCTCCAACTGCAATTGTCCCCCTCCAGTGATGTTCCGACCTGTTGAATTACAGATGATGAATTAGGTATTAATTAATTAAGGGTATTAATCCATCCATCATGTCTTCTGTATGTCAGTACTCCATGCAGATCTCATTAAGCACCGCCCCTTAATGTGTGGAATATGAAGAAGACCTGCACTCTGTGATCTAAGCAGGCAATTTGGATAGTATACATTAATAAGTTCCATTAGATAGACAGGTGCCTGACCTCTGAGAGCCTTGTAAGTAAGTAGAAGGATTTTGAAGTCCGCCCTGTACCTGACCTGGAGCCAATGAAGAGAGCTACTGTAAGTATGGGGGTTATATGGTCGTACTTTCTGCTCCTAGTAACAATTCCAGCTGCTGCATTCTGAATTCGCTGTAAGGTGTTAAGAGTGATGGGTGCTCCCTGATAGTAGGGCATTGCAGTAGTCTAACCTGCTGTATACAAGAGCATGTATTCATTTCTCTGTCTTGAGTGGAGAGAAACTGCAAAAAAAAATCCCTTGGTAAAGGAAATACCATAAGATTAAATACTTCACAGTATTCTTTCTTCAGTGCTCTTTGTTTTGCCATATTAAAGCAGTTTTACAGTGCAAAGGCCCAGATTTATGAGTCAGCCTTATTTAACCGCTTTTGCAAACGATATTCTGGAAGAAAACAAAACACCTTGTGTGAGATTACAGCCATAACAGATCTGTTAAACAGCAGCAGCAAAACTGCGCCTGAATGAGGAAGATCTGTTAATTGGTGGATTTGTCATGTAAAGATGGCTTCATGAAACTAGGTGGCCTCATTGCTAAATATGTCCAGTGATGAAACTGTAGTGCTGAAGGACACGATCCTAAATTCATGCTGACTTCTATTACTGAAAATCTCTGAATTTCTACATAACTACTACTGAAATTACTAAAAACACCTTTCAGATAATGTTCTGATAAAACTGTATTTTCTTCTAGTGTGGCTCATACAAAAAAAAACCCACTTCAATGGTACCTAATCATTTTTGTAATGGCAGGATTGAAGGGGGGCATTCCTTGTCCCAGAAGTGAAAAGAAATTTCTCCTCTCATCCTCAGAATTGTAGGTATTTTTTCCCCTTTGTTGTAACACATTCAATTAGAAACACGGTGTATTAACTCCCTGTGAATAAAAGGGCAATTCTGAATGCTTTTGAATGAGGTGGTATGAAAAAGCACAAATTAGTTTTTAATGAAACCCTCAGTCCTTTCACTTTGTAGGGAGCCTGAGAGCCTTTGTCTGACTGAATGCCACCATCCAGGCCTGGCTTTATTGAAGCCCATAATAAACTGTTGATTGCAGAGGGCATCTTTTCTTTGCTTTCTTTTTGAGAAAACCTCTCCCTCAGAGGCACAGTATTGGGCAGAGCAGCTTGGATTGGGAAGGTTAATGGAGATGAAAGGAGATTAGCAGTTGCGGTTAGGTCCTCGGTCTGCCACGGCCAAACACCCCCGCACACGGGGATACACTGGAGTCCTGGGGCGCTGGAGTGGAGGGAGGGCGTTCGGGGCCCTGAGCGAGAGCCAGGCAAACCGCACCCCTCGAGTCCGAGCTAACCCTTTCAGCACCTCCACACCTCCGCACTGCTTCTCACTGCAAGGGTGGGTGTG